AGAATCAAAGAGATCTTGAGAATTAAAGTTCTTCCCGTCAAGGTGATTTTGCAAGCTCCAAAATAAGTGTAATCTGTATGAGCAAGATCTAGGAAATATAGAGAAGTATCCTTTTTTTCCCAGATGATATTCTCCAAATTTTTACAAGTAATAAAAGCTGTGTGTGGGCAGGCATTATCTTGATGAAATAGAACAAATCACCTATTGACCAATGCTGGATGTTTTAATTGCAGGGCCACTGTGATGGTTTCATTCCTTCACAAAACTCAAAGTGTAATATACCTTACATACCTCAATAAATACTGAGTAACATTGTCATTGTGCAGTTTGAATGAAACCTAACTTTTATCTCAGAGTCTGAGCCATTGACAATGACATTTAATATTCTTATGTTGTAAAGCCACATCAACATGCCATTTAATGTTGGGCTATATTCCAGCAATAATAATTTAATAATTATAATTTATTAAAAAAACCTGATAATATATGGCATGTTGGTGTGGCTTTATTGTAATGAATTGGGTTTTGGAAGATGTTTATATATTCTTATGTTGTATTCATTTTTCATTTCCAGTAATAATTTGATCCAAAAACAGAGCTTGGAATGATGAGAATACAATGCATACAATAAAATGCACACAATAATGCAATGTTCAAGTTGTGCTGGCAATAGTTCATGTGAAACCCATTTTCCCAAATTCAGCACTTTTTCCAGCTATTTCAAATGCTGTTGAATAGTAAAACAACTTATGTCTAGTTCTTTTGCAAGTTCTTGTACTGTTATGAAAGATTTATTTTTTTCTAGAGTTTTCAGCACATCAAACGGAATTTATGTTATAACCTGATATAGCATATACTCTCCCAAAAATAAAAACCTAGACAAAAAATGTGCTTTGGTCACAATGAGATCAGATATGGTTGCTTGATTAGTTAGTAGGCTCTTGTGTCAACAAAAGCTATTTTGGCCACACTGTGCCAAGAAATAAGGTTAACAGTAAAGAAATAAATATATTATTAAATACTATACAAATAACAAATAAATTTAGATATAGTTTCTAACTATAAAATATCCAAACAAATAAAATAACAAAAACTGCACAAATGACTAACAATAACAAAACATAAGTAACCCAAAACAGTACAAAATAATAATAACAATGTCCATACAGAATATTATTTACAATAAAAGATGTTAAATTGCTTTAAGCATATTGATGACTTAAAAAGTTAATTGATTACATTCAAATTTGACCAATGGCCTAAAACTTCCAATAAATTCACACCATTGCCAAAATACTGGATACAAATATTATTCAACTCACAGCATTTTATCAATTGGTGTTTAATGTACAAAGCACAGTGACACAGTCCTCACCCTTCAGAAGGTATTGATGAGTCAGCTAAGTGTGTCTGATTCTCGATTGCATAAGTATGACTTCGGATCTCTTATCACATGCTTCATCCAAAGTCCAATTTTCTATTAATGCCTTGATCTCATGTAGTTTATTGTGGACTTAATTGGCAAAATATGTAGAACAAACATGTCTTAATCTTTTTTGATGACTGATTAAAGGTTAGTTTCTTCAACAGTCATTGGATGACCAAATGGGAAGGGTGACCTAGCAGCAATGTTTGCTAATTCCTTTCCTCTTATGCTGACATTGATTGGGATACAACAGAATTTTAGAAAGTCATTGCTTAGAGATCTGATATCATATCTATCAGAAACAAACTAAATGCCGATTCAGCAAAGCTATCAAGTTACGCCTACTCTGCTTAACTGAGAAGTGTTACTTTTTAGATTCAGCTGTTTCATAAAAGTAAGCTTTTTTCACTTGCTGAAATAAGTAAGACTTTTAAGTAATATCAATAAAATAAAATATTTAACAAAAAAGTACTGGTACTCACTTAATTTTTTGTAAAAAGCTGAAAATATCTTAAATGTAAATGAAATAAAAATAAAATTTAAATTATAAAATAAATATGTTTTATATTAAATAATTCTGTCGATAAAGTCACTAGAGGAAATACTACATTAATATAATACATAAATAAATCACTTCACAAACACCAATAACTAGCAAAAATAACAAAAATTTACTGCAACAAATGTCTTCTTTCATATATAATGAACATTGCCAGATTTAACTGAAATAATACAGAATAGAACAACAAATTAGAACTTGGAATAGAACATTTTTTAATCATAGTTCAAGGGCATGGAGACTTGTACATATCAAATACCAAAAAATACCACTATAGTGAATTACGCAAGCCAACAAGATTGAATTCTCAAAAATCATGGTCAATAAGTCTGATTAAATAGCCAAAAAAAAAAGTAGCTATAAGAGAATAAAATCCTGAGGAAAAAAGGACTAGAAGTTTTATGAACCAGTTTCTTAATTGCTATTCCTCTCCTAAATGCCTTGTAAATTTTGACTCTCTTTGTAAGTTTTTTAGTTAATGCAGATCAGCCATGGTGTATGCATTGTCAAACTCCACTTGCATGTTGTTATCTAATGTGTAGGCAGTTCATGCTCTGTTGAAAATATGTTTTTTGAGACTGATTCATAATCCTTAATCCTTGTTTTGAGGTTCCTGCATTCACATACAGTAGAACCTCTCTAGTACGCCCTCAGCTAGTCTGTCACTCCAGTTAATCCGACCGTGGTTGGAGTTGAGAAACTTGTCCCGACTCGTCAGTGACTCACCGTCCGTGGCATTATTGTGTTTGTTACAGTATATGTTTTACATTGAGTGTACAGTACGTATACAGTTTTGTGTGTGTTTTCAACATGTCAGGAGTGAAACGTAAACACGTTACTCTTTCATTACATGAAAAATTAACAGTGCTATAAAGACTGGACAAAGGAAAGATTGTTTATTTTACTTTTTTCTGATAATCCGACCTTTTTTGCGTTCCGACTATACCCCCAGTCCCAAAGGTGACGGATTAGAGGGGTTCTACTGTACTCATATGAATGGTGTAGCCTTTGATTGTGAATTGGAATGCTATAGATATAGACACTTTGCAAGTAATCTCTCTCTGTTGGGTCCTTTTCATTTTTTAAGTTTTTTAAGCATTGAGAAGACAGGATTGCTTTTAAAAGAAGCCCTGCTGAGGTTACCACATTGGGCTATCTCTTTACAGATGAAATAGAGGGTCCTGTGATATGTGACCTGTCCATGACTATGATCTGTCTTCTGTTGTGGTTGTGCTATTCAGCCAGTTGATTCTATCATAGAACAAATGCCGTAATTAGATCTGCCAAGTAGACATGCTGTTTGCTTAACTTCAAGATGAAACTTAGCTCCTCCTTCCTATTTTTTGTAAATGAACAGTGCATATAGGCTCTTTTAAGTAGAGCCCAAAATGCAGCCAGTTTATATGCAAACAGATTGGGGTAAAAAGTGGGCTGTAGAAATTCTTTTGAAACACCTTTAGTATTTGTCCTTGATATAATATTTGTATATCCAGAAAGTGCATCTAGGGGAACTTTCCTGCTCTGCTCTCAAAGAGAGTTTATCATTAAATCTCTTATGGATTATGGATTATCATTAAATCTCTATAAGAAGTCCATTATGCTAAAAATAACTTTTCAACAAAGGCATCTATGGAGTGGCTTGATTTGAATAAAATTAAGATCAATATGTATCAAATATTTTTATGGATTTTTTTATCCCTGTCAACTACATGAAACTGTCATAAAACATGCCAGTAGGCTCTCATAGGTTGGGTTAGGTTATGAATTTACTTGCAATTACATTGATACAGATAGTCAAATATCTGTAGCACACAAGTGATTAACAGTCAAAATCCAGCCTTTTATAACTGATTCTCATGACAGTGGTATTTGCACATGTACACATTTACTGTTCTTCAAAGACAGGACTGCTAAACTGGGCCAATTGGGCTATTGTTTCAGTATATTGGATAATTATAATTGTTATGCTAGTTAAAATTTTATCAGTTATAAGTACTTTTATATTTTAGTCCATTTGTAAAAGAAATATTGAACATTTAGCATAGTTAATTGTTATTTAATAAACATTTTTATATATATCACACAAATNTTTAACAGTCGACTTAGGAACAAAATGTTCTACGGTCAGGCAGGTGGAAAAGATCTGTTGCAGAGAAAATGGAAGGATTTGTGTTCCTGCGTAACATTAGAGGTATAGCTAATGACATTTAATATTGTGGGGTTTAAAAATTTAGCTAAAAGAAATTCTTACTATTTTAATAATTTTAGTGTGACGATCAAGACTTGACTCCTCGTTTAAAAGAACTTAAAGTCCATTCAGTATTGTTCCTTAACATTCCTAGGTAAGTAAAATCTATTTCTAAATATTAGCTTGTTTTAAAGTCTCTATTTACACTTAAAACATTCAAACCTTCCACGTTTTATTAGTGAAAAACCATAAGTAAATGTGATGATATGCACTAGCTTGTAAATTTATTCTTTAGAGTTAAAGATGGTATAGTACTTCAATGAAACATTGATAATATAGGACAGGATCAGTATCAAAACTCTAACAAATCACATAATGAAGAAAATATCATTTATTCTGAATGGCTTGGACAACTGAATAAATTCAGAAGTTTTATTTATGTTAATTGGTAATTCATATTGGGTTGTTTGCAAGAAAATTAAAAGTGGTAAGAATTTAAGTTATAACTTTATTTCACACACACAATCATTTTGATTAATGTTCTAATACAGAGAATCTTTTAAGAGAGTAAGTTCTGGATATTGACAATATCAATATATACTATTGTTAATATTCTGGATATTAACAATATCCAGAATATTAACAATATTGACAATATCAATATATCCAGATATTGACAATATCAATATATACTATTGTTAATATTCTGGATATTAACAATATTAATATATACTATTGTTATAATATATTCTTGAAAATTCATTAATCTATTAATATCTTGAAAACTTCTTTGGTGCTTTAACTAATTTAATAATTCCTTTCTATAGATATCATGTGCCAATGCCTAATGACAATCACAATGTTGTTGCCATGGCTAGAGGTATATTTGGGCAAGCTGGGGGTAAACTAACATCTGATGAAACTGGTGTGAGTATAATGATTCCTCCAGGGGCTCTTCCTAGTCCTACTGAAATCTATTTTAAAGTTTGTCAAGATGATAATATGTTACCACCTCTTGATAGAGAAAAAGGTATTCAATAAAAACATTACCTCTACAAAATAAGTAATATTTTTGATATTTGGATAATCTTTCTGGAAAATGTTTCTCTTAAGGTGAAACATTACTAAGTCCTTTAGTACTATGTGGACCTCCAGGACTGAAATTTGCTTTACCAGTGGAATTAAGATTGCCTCATTGTGTTTCTATTCATCCACATAATTGGTCTTTTGCTTTAAAGTCAAGTGATGCTCCAAATGGTAAACAGTTATAACTATTAGTAATTTAAATGCATGTTTTTTTTAATGTTTCAAATAAATTAAATGTCAATATTTACAAAATTTCAATGATATTAGGCCTCATATGAAAGATTTTACTATTTCATAATAAATTTTATAAATATTTAAATATTATAACAATTCTAACAATATAATTAAATTTGAATTATTGTGTAGCTATTTTTCAAATGTAGATGCATTTTATTTTCTATTTGTGATAAAAATGCACCTACAGTCAAAAATAATTATTTCTAATACTTAAAAGAACTTAAGCAAATACAGATATTACAAAAATTTAATTTGAGAAATATATTTAAATGATAATATAACAAATAATCAAAAATAATAATTTTTTCAGTCAAAAAAATTCCTAATTTTTTTTTATTACTTTAAAGTTTTATGCAACATTTTAATGATTGCAGATTGATTTATTGATTTTTTCATTAATTTTAATAAAATTCAGTATCAGTTTATTTAAATAAATAAATATATACATATACAGTATATATAGTGGAACCTGGTTAACTTGATCTTGCATTTCCTCAATCATTTTCTTCCCCAATAGTCTAACATAGGGATTTACATGTTAAATCAAATTGGTTAACTTAAATTCATCAAACTGTTTAACTCAAATTAATTGGGTTTTTGATACAGTATTTTCATAAACTTTCCAGACTTTTAATATTTAATATAAATAAAATAATTAATGTTCATCTATCAAATAAACTAATCAGAAACTTTCTATAAAATGCAAAAATTACATACAACTAAAAATAAACATCATGTAATGTGATAGTGGGCAGGAGATGGGGGCTTCCAGACAGCATGTGTGACCTAGATACAGTAATACCTCAACTTACGCGAACCCGGAGTTACGCGATTTTCAAATCTCGTCGATTCCTCTTTTGTTTGAGCGCCAGGCAACTCTTGATTACTCATTCCCCCACACTGTTGTTCAGCTTCTTGTTCAGACGTGTCACGTGGAATCGACATATAGCTACAATTTATTTTTATTTATTTCTGTGTTTGTTATATCTACGGAGACTCAAGAGGCTCTACTATGTCATCCAAACGAAGTAAAACTGATTTTTCTGCATCAAATAAGAAAAGAAAAACTTTATCTTTGGAATGTAAAGTTAACATTATTAAAGACTTGGATACAAAAATGAAAATTTGTGAATTGGCAAAGAAGTTTGATCTACCGGAATTGACGGTCAAAACAATTATAAAAGGTAAAGAAAAAATTCTCGAAGCTGTAAAAAATGCTCAATCTTTAAATTCAAGCATCATTCGTAAATGTTATGGTATTATCGCTGAGATGGAAACAATGTTAAAATTATAGTGTGATAATCAAGTAAATGTGAAAAATTGTATAATAATATAATTTGTTATACATATGTATTATCTAAGATTTTTAATATTAAACATTTTTTTCTAAATTATTGTTTTCTTTAGTCTCCAGCCCCAATTAAAAATTATTTGTATGTATTTATATGCGAAATTATACTCCGACTTACGCAGTTATCGCTCGGTCCCACCTATCGTGTAAGTTTGGGGTATTACTGTACTATAACTTCCATTCGAATCTGCATTTATTTGATTGCTGATGGTTTCTCTGACTTGTTGATGTAATAAATAAATAGATTTTTGATAAATTAATTTAAAAAAATCAATTATAGTCCAATTCTACATAAAAATTTTAACCTTTGTGGTAAATTTTCAAAAATATAACATTCATAAAGAATGGTATATTTGTGATAAAAATATAAAAAATCCAGCGAGATGCTTAACTTTCCCAGCATTTGGTGGCACCATCTGTTATATCTTATTAAAAAAAAAACTCTTAATATTTTTAATTATTATAAAATGGTACAAAACTTAATTTTGAGGGTAGGGATGGGTTTTATAAAAAAAACTGTAAATGCTAATGTGTAAAATTCTCATTGTCTGATCCTTCTTGAGATATGACATGATCCCCTTTGTCTTCCTGTCCACTCAACCTTTAATCACCAAAATTTAATAGCATCAATCCCCCTAATACACAAATCTACCTACAAAATTTCAGAAATTTTCAACAAAAAGCACAAGAGCTATTATGCTTCAAACAGGGTTGAACAAAATTGTGCCATATGCACACAGACTAATGTCCCAACATACAGAAAAAACCCTTAAATTTTTTTGCATTTCTTTACGTTTAAAGATCCCGAGTCCAAAAATGTAAAAATCTTGGGGGGATCGTTTTTTTGACTGATTGCCATACTTTCCTCTATTATATATAACAGAGCTAGGAAAGTAAAAAGATGAATTCTAGGCATAAAATATTGCAACTTAAATAAATCCTTACTAAACCATTTCTCAGCAACTTACTTAATCATTCAGTCATTTTGAAGTTTCTTAACAACACTGATAGAATCATTGTGTCAATGTAAACCTATGCAATAAAAACCACAAAAATATATGGATAGTTTATTATGAGTCACCAATAATACCAATAAACCAATGCACAAAATTCTGATTTTTAGTCAAACTTCCATAACTCAGAACTTTTCAACTTGAAGTCCAAATTCTTTTTCCAACCAATTTGAGTTAACTAGGTTCCATTGTATATATTTTTATTCAATTAGCAAATACCATATTTTCATGTATATTGACTAAGATAAAACCTTTCACACTTTGTTTCTAGCAGTTTAACCACTAAGTACAAACGTTTTTGGCTGTTTTGAATGGACTTCTTCTGGTACAATGAGGTCGGTTGGAATGTCGGTTAGCAGTCTAAACTTTGTTATCAACAATGACATCACTAGTAAGAAGAAACCTACGTAAACAGTGATGCCGTTTGAATATCTGCTAACCGACATTTCAACCGACCTCATTGCACCTGAAAAAGGCCATTCAAAACAGCCAAGAACATTTGTACTTAGTGATTAAACTGCTAGAAACAAAGTGTGAAAGGTTTTGTCTTAGTCATTTTAAGTAGTTCTAGCTTCAAATGCATTCATGTATATTACTCATAAGTTATCTATAAAAAGTCAATTTGAAATCAGATGTAGATTTATAGCATAAAAAATTTATTTGTTGATTTTTATCAATTTCTGATTTATTCTGATAGACTTATCCACTTTTTTGTTCAAACTCACCATATCTCTCACCATATATTTTCTATCATATCTGGTAATAAAAAATATTATCAGATATGCTATTGGGTTAGCATTAGTTAATATCAGCAAACATTCTGATAGACAGTTTAAGAGGTTTCTTCTCAAATATTCCTGTTTTTACCATTTCTTCTGTTTCATTTTATTTCATAATTACATCTATAATAAAATTGCTAACAGAAATGAAAAGGAATTTTTTCAAGAGTATAAACAATATTTGAGACTGTACCTTCTAAACTGCATCTGATGTACTATACTTTTTAACATCTCTTTGGAGGTGTAGAATATAAATTATTGAGGGTTATGCAAAAGGCTTTATCTCAGTTCTAGCAATTTTTGAAACTTGTGAGTTATATGCTACTACAGATTATCCACATGAAAATAGTGTGTATTGTTTCCAAATGATTGTGTTCAAATCTGTGTTCAATAATAAAAGAAAAAATATATACTTAATTGATAAATATATTTTATGTATATGTTAAGACTGGAAATATATTTAATATAGTCAAGATTTATCATCATCCAGACAACATAATAGTAAATATTTAAATATATTGCCCAAAAATTTGCAAAGTTAAGTTGTATAGTACTATCAATATATAGGTTCATTTTTTTATTAAACATTTTGATTAACTTTAATATTAATATTTAAACATTTATTAAATACCAAAAGATAACAAAAATATTTAAAGATTTTTTAATAATAATAAAAGTATCATAACTTGATTCAACCAGACTGAAACCTGGTTTCTCGGTATGGTAAACTGACACCTTAATCACCTTGATCGCTCAGTTTTTATGAGATCTATTCAGAAATCAACTTCCAGTGAACAGTTAGAAAAAACAATAAAGGAAGAAAATAATTTTATTACACACTGTTATTTACAGAGTGATTACAATATTTGTGTTCACTACAACTAAATCAGCAAAGTACATCTATAAACTTTTGTATAATTGTTTTCATCAAACAATCTGAACTGATTACTTAAGCAAGCTAAAGTAAATTAATGTTTGCAATAGCAGTAGTGAAGATATTACTATTGCAAATAATGTGTTAAGTAAAAACAGAGTTTGATCTTGGATTTTCGAAAGTGGTGGATTGATACTTTAATTGTCTTGGCCATTCAACAGTTTAATTAGTATTTTTCTTTTTTTTGTTATATAAAATTGATGATTGAAAATTTTAAAAATTAAGTCTCATATCTTGCATACAGAACATGTATAAAATTAATTCTGATACTTGTTTCTATAAAAGCTAGTACAATTTACTCTTTGTAGTTTTTATAATCAGAGTGAGAAAAAGATGGAAATTTATTTTCTTTTTTTCTTATAATGATTTTTAAATGTGATATGTGGGATTTTCTCTAATTGTTAATGGAAATTACATTCTAGATTAAATCGTTTGAAAATATGTTATATAGAACATTTTGAATTATTATTAAACTATTTATATCACAAAAAGACTGAGCTTATGATATAGTCAATATGACAACCAGATGGCCATGGTGGAAAAAACATTCAAACTGAAGACCTGGTTTTCAGCCAAAATTGGTAGCCTTAGAAATTATGGGCAATTTGTTCTGAATATATCAGACATCATTCTTCATAGCCCACACATCCCCACTGGGCCTGGCCAAACCCATGATGAGTATGGATAAAAATAAGTTTTTAACTAGTGTTGCAACGAATAGTATTCAGGCCAAATATCGAATATTCGGCTTGATGAACGCACAAACGAAAATTGGTGCACAAACCGCATTATGGCGAGGACCCTGTTCTCTATTGGCCCGCTGTCACTACACTTCGCCAACTGTGTTAATTCTTGACAGTTGTAGCAGACAGACACGAGCATCATGGCAATATGTGACAAATGATGATATAAAATATAGATAACAATGAAATGACCTACACGTGTAAATAACGGAAAAAGAACAGAGAAGGACCGCGAAGTGACAATGTGAAAATAAATACGAAATTGAGTTGATAACATAATTGAACAAGTGGAGGCAGCTTATTGGTGCAAAATTCGCAGTCATCAATGCCAAACAATTGTTGTCATAGACTTCAGAAAGCTAAATGCTTGTAATGAAAGTCACTTAGCGTGCACGGGCAAAAGCCTGGGGCCGTTCAGGCTACCAAGCTGTCTCGAATTTGTGAAATCATAACTGTGACTTATTCCAATGTCCTATCTGTCTCTTTTCTCCGTTATCACCAGGCTATGAGTCACGTAATTGTAAAATTGGAAATCCACGACAGAAAAGTGACAAATCAAAAGTATCGTGAGCGCGTATTATGATGTATGCATAGGCATATGTGAACTAGAGTGATAGAGGAAAGAGAAAGAGAAGAGGAAAGACAAGCGCTTAAAAAGAAGAATAGGCAGGGTCAAACCCTCAGATGTGCGACGATTCTCAAACGAATAGGTGTGTACATGTGCTGATCTTTGTAATTATAAATTGTGAATACATGTGACTAATATTATTTTCTTTTTTATTTTGTGCATGTTATAAGTTATAAATAAATATAAACAAACAACACTAACCCGATAACATTAAATCTAAATACCAAAATGATTAATTTACTGTGTTTTTGTTATTTCTTACTCCTCTTTTTAGGTATTTGGCTGAATAGTGATTAAATATTCAGTATTCGGCCGAATAGCGAAAAATAGGCCGAATACTGAATAGTAACCGAATATTCGTTACATCACTATTTTTAACATTCACAAGGTGAAGATTTTTTTTTTTTTATCATTTTTGATTTTGACCTGTAAGCATTAAGAGGGCCTTTTTAATCATACTCATTGTTGGTTTGTCCAGACCCACAATGAGGCAGCTGGATGGTGATAAATGGGCCCAACATGTCTGAGACAGACCATTTCCAAAAAATTCCTGGGGTGGCCTAGATTTGGTCCCAAGTTCCCAGGGAGATCTAACAATGCCTAAACCACCTCAGCAGTATGGTTGTCATAGAAAGAAGAGTTAAAAACTAAAAAAAAAAAAAATGATCATTAATTTTTTTATTGTCTGTTAAGTCAAAGGTTGAGTAAAAGAATATTTAAGATTTATTTCTCATCATCACTAATTATTAAATTTTACTAGACAGATGGCTGAGATCATTAAAGTAGCCCACTGTTTTTGGAATGCATGAGTTCGAATTACAGTCAGATCTTTAAAACTTTCATGGATGGAAGGATTTATCTCTTCCCCCTCAATTATAGTAAAAGATAACCATAACTGAGTGGAAGAGATAATTATAATGAATCTTTTATAAAAAATCTTCCTGGTATTCATGGACCAGGAAGTTTAAAAAAAAAAAAAAAAGGAAAATTTGGTTTATTATTTTCATAAATATCTATTAAGTTCAGAACTAAAATCTAAAACATAAAAGATTGAATTTTTCCATAAATAATAGACTAATTTATTTCAAAGTTTTTGAGTTAAAATATATTTTTGAAGTTTTAAATTTTAATAAATTTACACTATTAAATAATAATAATATTTTCTTTCTAAATTCTACATACACAAACTTGTAGGAAAACTTTTCCTATTTGTTTGTATTGATGTTTATTAGATGATAATCATTAATATTTAAATCAATTATCATCATCTAATATTTGCATTTCAAAAATCTATTACTTGATGAACTTTACTGTAAATAAGTTTGCTTACATATACATAATCTAAATTCAAAACATGTTAAAATTGTTGATCACTATTGATATTTTAGTAATTATTACACTTATTTGCTTTTATGATACTCTGCTTTCTGTTTCATCTATGAAAAAATTTAATTTAAACAAAATTAACATTGTCAATATTGTGTAGTTAACTTTGTTCACATTTCAATATAAAATGAATTTTAAAATAAAAAATTAGAAAAAAAAAAAAAGAGAGAGAGAGAAAGAAAGAAAGAAAGTCAATGATATGATTCTAAGTTCACAAATTATTTTTTCTTTATTTCCAGCAACCAAACAATTAAACTGAAATGTTATAGAACAATATGAAAAGAATATTCTAAATAGAATATTAGTGTAACAAATCTGAGGCAGGGAAGTTAAACTACTCGAAAATATTTGTCATTTTGGTTGTTTAGTTGCTGGAAATAAAGATTAATTTGCGAACATAGTGAATTTTTCCAGTTTAAATTCTTAAAGTATGATTATATTTTAAATATCTTTAAATTATATTGAAAACAATGAATAATTTCCAGTTTTAACTTATTATATATTAATTCTAGGGAAACCATCAGAATGGCAAAACATATCATTAGACAGTAAGAGTGAAATTGATCGGAGCTATATTCAAGATGGTTATGTTTCAGTTTTAGTGGACCATTTTTGAAGAAAACTTGTAAATTTGTACAGTTTTTATAATCATGTATTCATATGTAAAATGTTTCACTTGTTATCAGAAAATAAATACTAGTCAGAATCTAAAAATATAGTAATTACAGCAGATAATATATTTTTATCACTTAATTTCTGAATTTTATTGTATATATCAATAAAATAAATATGAACTATTTGAATTTATTGTATTTATTAAACAAAATACAGTATATAACATATATATTTACATTGTTGTTATACAGAAAACTTTTATGCCACAGTATTGACTTGACTCTGTATGGGCTACACATTTCTGTTATTATTTCTGTTATGGAATTAGTTACAATACAGTACTGTATTGTAACTAATTCATATTTTAATCTGTTCTGATATATAAAATTGAAAATACTATGGAATATATACAGGTTATGGTCCATGTTTTTCATCTACTCCATGGAAAGTATGTCTCCAAAATACAAATTCAAATTATATTTGACAGTCATACTTAATGTCAAATTTTTTATTTGTGCCTGTCCAACAGGTTTGCTCCATAAAATTTTTCAGATTTTCTTCCTAAACACTTTTAGCCTAATAGGAGCCAGTTTCATATACAAAGTCCTTCCGAGAAATCACCTTCAAGTACATTTTCTTATTCCTACAAATAAACAAATATCTACTTGCATAATTGAGTGACAATTTTTGAAGAAATGTGATCCATTCTTGACTATAACCCTCATCACTAATTAACACATCTCTCTGTTAGGTACACAATGGTTATTTTATCATTAAATAACTTACTGTACATTTACAAAATTCATCATAATGGGTGATTCAGTTATGTTAACTTTTTTATAATTGGTTGCATGAGATGTTCTTTTCTTTTGAATATTGAAACATCAAATCCATAATTATTGTCCATGTTTATTATTCACCATGTTATTGTTCCCATGCAACTCCCCCATCTTCAAGCTGCCTGGAATTTAATAGCTTATACAAGCTGATCCAAATCATCCTCTATGACCATTATAATTAACTGCATTTCTCCATCTTCTCTGCATATTAAAATGCATACATGTACATGTTACGCAATTTTCATATTTAAGTTTTAAAACTTTTTGTTCTAAAAGTTGTTTATATTCTAAATGGTTAATGCAGTTCCTGTTTTTAATTTAAAACCTGTTCGATTCCTTTTCCGACTGAAGACGATGTTCATAGCTGCATCAAAAGCGCTTGCAAGAAAATAAAATATTCCTTAACATCTTTTATATAAGTTTTTCTCCTAGTGTCAGTACAATTGTTGGCACCATAAGTGTTTATGTTACTTTACAAGATGAGTACTAGAAAACAATGTTCTATTCCATGTTGAAACTAGAAAAGTTGTGGCATAAGTTACATGCCCAGATGGTTTTTCTGTTGAAGTGTAGAGGACATAATGTGATGATACCCAAGTGTATTACTATCAAGTACAATGCATTTCCTTTGTATCTATATAGTGCGCTATGGGATGTGGAAAAATCTCTCCTCTCAAAGTTAATCAGAAACAAACACATATGTCTGACGAATGTTGAAGTTATATATGGCCCACCTACATTTTTCCAAATTCTGTGACCTGGGTTCTCTCTATGACCAACTTGAAAAATTACTCATTGTTGCTTCAGGTTTTGCTCAATAAGGACTAAACTGAACAAGAAATTCCAGTGGCTCCTTAGTTCTATACACAAACAACACAATGTGGTGCTGCCAGTCCCATCCTACAACTACACAGGGAAGCCTATTCCTTCCAGTTTCCAAGATGTTGCAGTGGGGACCTAAGTATATTCCCCTGCCTCAAGGCATGGGTGTCTTGGAATTAGTTCTGTTGTCTCTGGTAGTGCTCAAGAACTGCCAAGTGGCAACCAAGTTCCCACAAATGGAGCTCTCAGATATCTCAACAATTGTCTGTGAGGCAACCTTCAAGTGGTGCCAAAAATTGAGTGACTGATTGATCTGTAAGTCGTTACTTGTCTGTTGCCAATACAAAACTCTAAATATCGGACAAGGATAAAAGGTTTGTGTTGTGCAAGGAAGAGGACATTCTTCACAGGACTACGGACTTCCTGAACCAGTCACATATAAAAGAATATTCAATCCTCCCATAAGAACACACACCTTGTTCTTATGGGGATCCAACTCCAGCTGTTTTAAGGAAGACAAAGAAAATAGTGTGTCTTCCGGATATAACTGCAGGTCTTTTGGGACTTAGACCCCCACCAATGTCGCATTCCCCAGGCTATTCTTTGAGGCTAAGATGCACAAAGCAGACTGGCCCTTGAGACCACTGGTCAACAAGAGGTCCCACCCCCCTACTACCTTGAAACAGCACTTGCTAAGCTGCTTGGTGGGCTTCTTCCCCCTTCCTCTTGTGTCACACCTAATCCATTGTGGCTAAGGCAGCAATATCTGCAATGCTTGATGTTTTGCCCCCAAGTACTGTACATACAGCTTTTATAAAATGGATGTCATTGTGTTATATCCCATGAATTGTCATGACTTGCTACTAAGAGTACCTCACTTTGAGGCAGTCATGACAATTCATTGCTTATTAAGGAAGGCTTCACTGCACAACAAGTTCTGGAGATACATGAAGCTTTGCTTCATCACTGAGCATAATTACTTTCACTTCAATGGGAAGATATACATACAAAAATAGAGTGTCCCAATGGGTTTGCCGTTGTCTGCTGTATTAGCAGAGTTGGTCATGAGGCATGTCAAACACAGGATTTTTGGTTCCTCGCTTACGATATCTTACCCATTATTATATTGAGGTACGTGGATGACATCCTTTTGGCATAGCAGGACATGGAAGACGCATTTCTAGCATTAGAACATTGCCTCGCAAGTGTATACTCTGCCATCAAGTTTACCTGAGAAAAAATCTCTTTTAGATCTGGACATCTCCAGTCCCAGGGGGATTGTTTTTTCCTTATTTCATAAATTTGGCAGTATTCCCCCTATAATCCCTGCCACAGCATTCCAAACTTCCTGGCATATTACTTGAATATCTTAAATTTCTTGAATTTCAAATATGAAACCAATTTTAAAGCTATATTCTCCTGTAGCATGTTTAACCATTGACCTTTCCCTCGTAAGTTTTTAATTGATCAGGGGTAATAAATCTCAATTAGATTTGATTCTATCATGATAAACAATAACATCTTTCTGAAAGCTATCTTCATAATATATTACAATTTTCTAGATTAAATAGCAAATTATTTTTAAATTACTTCCATTATACTTTTGTTTCTCTCCATTTTATATGTTTGTCCTCCTCCTCCTCAAAAAGTATTCCAACACAACTATAATAGATAACACAACTATAATAAATAACACAACTACAATAGTATCCAAATTTAAATTATTAGTTAAAGCAATTCTTAAACTTTTACTAATAAAACCTTCCAAAAAACATTGTGCCAAGACACTAACAATTTCCAAAAATTAAGTAAAACTAGTAAATAACATTTGAAGCATTCTCTGGCACATATACCAGGTTCCATTGCAAAAGATTCCAGATTTTTCACATCTATCTAAATTTTCCTCCTGATGAATCTTAACAACATACCCAGAACTAATAACTGGTGTGCACAAAAACAAAAAACCAACACAAACATTTTCAAACTCCACTAGACTTCTTAATTCTTTTTGGCATTATAACAAACACCTGATGGAACATCATAAAAGCTTTTTTTGGAATACAGTAGTCTCGAAAACTCGACACTCGATAACCCGGCAGTCCGGATAACTCGGCCACACCCTGGCAGGGCAAAAAAAATCCTTAGTTAATTAATTAAAATTTTCATTATAGACAGCTTTATGCCTCATAAAGTATTTTTCTGAGGTCTGTCTTATCAGGTAAATTACTGTACACAGTGTATTCATTAATTTTCATTTTCATGTAGTAAAGGCTCTATGCCTTCATAAAGGACGTACTTTTCCTTTGTTTAAGAGTATTTGGGCAGTTTAGTCTCTGTTGTATTCTCAAGTAAACAATACATACAAGTACAGTACACTCATACTTATTTTTTTAACCCCATTCCCGATAACCTGGCATTTTCACAAACTCGGCCACCCTTCGGTCCACATTAGGCCGAGTTTTAGAGACGCTACTGTACAAAATTCGAACAAGCTTTCAAATTACAAGCACAAAAATTTAAAAACCCACATCATGCCTGCACACTCAGTAGCCCAACTGAGACACAACAAAGGTTAAACAGTGTTGTCAATCAATGCTTGCCAGGCCATCGACAAAACCATATTCTCTTTGTAATTTATGCACACTGATGCAAAATTAGATTTAAATATCTGCACGGCCTCCAACTATCTGAGGTGTTCCGTGGGGGCAAAGCGAGGATGAGTTTGGCCCAGTTGAAATCCACTACAATATCAGGATCTGCAGTGTATGTAGAGAGGGTTGTGGTAGTTCTCGCATGTTGTATATCAGCGAGATGCTCTTGTAGCCTGATCCCATGGAGCACTTAGTTGACCCAATGTATATCAGGTTCCTATTGCACAAGGTTACCACAACATTATACATGGGCTGATTGAACATCATCACCGGACACACGTAGGATTCACCCCCATTGTGGACTTGCTGAGAGATAACCAAATTGATGTGGAACGGGCCCCTATTACCTTTAACCCATACTTAAGATCATTGTATTCCGAAATTGCCAAGAAATGTCGGATTTGTATCGCTTTCAGGAGGTGAATGACTATTTTTAACATGCTTCGTAATGGGAAGGATCCTCCCAAACCAAACAGACTCCCTAGTGTATATAGTGTCCCCATTAGAGACAACAGAAGCAATAGGGACCTGGTATATATTGGGTCAACTAAGCACTCCATGGGATCAGGTTACAAGAGCATCTCGCTGATATACAACATGCGAGAACTACCATAACCCTCTCTACATACACTGTAGATCCTGATATTGGAGCGGACTTCAACTGGGCCAAACTCATCCTCCTTTGCCCCCACGGAACACCTCAGATAGTTGGAGACGGTGCAGATATTTAAATCTAATTTTGCATCAGTGTGCATAAATTACAAAGAAAATATGGTTTTGTCAATGGCCCGATAAGCGTTGATTGACAACACTGTTAAACCTTTGTTGTGTCTCAGTTGGGCTACTGAGTGTGCAGGCATGATGTGGGTTTTTAAATTTTTGTACTTTTAATTTGAAAGCTTGTTCTAATTTTGTATTCCAAAAAAGCTTTTATGACATTCCATCAGGTGTTTGTTATAACGCCAGAAGAATTAACAACAACTCTGGGGAGTTTGAAAACAATTGTGTTGGTCTTTTGTTTCTGTGCACACCAGTTATTAGTTCTGGGTATGCTATTAACTATATCTTGACATGGTGTAGTAGTGTTTACTGATGAATCATCTTAAATTGTGATTAAAATAGGAAGCCAGTTTAATTTTTCAAAATTTCTCTATTTCTATTTTGGAATGTTAGGTTTAGTCATATTTAGACACTTCAATGTCATTTCTGTTGATATTCTCTACACTATTGTATCATTCTCTAAAAGTACCATACATCCAACACTTTCATAGAATGTCTTTAAATTCAAGGTTTTCAAATTTTTATAATTTGAATTTTTTGAATTATTTATTCAAAAAGACACCTACTAACTTCATTTATTAAGAATTTCCTCCCTTAGCATATTAATTCTTTAGAATACATCTTAAAATTAAAAATTCTAAAACTCCATAATCCAACAATTTTTTTAAATACATGCAAACATTTTTGCCCATGTTGAACAGGCATCGTCAGGCAAACAAATCTCCAGCTGCTGAAACAATGCCATACACTTATGCAGAGGGGAGATGATGTGAGATGAAAGGTGAAAGGGGAGGATAGTAAGATTTACAGTTCAAAGAAAGACTTCCACGCTATGGGGAAGGCATCAACCTCAAGAAAATTAATAGCAGTGTTATTGCGGGTGTCTACTATATTTTCATCTGCTCTAAAGATGTTTGAGAAAGTGTTGCCTGAAAGAGCTATGTACTGCCAAATCCCACATCCATGTTATGGTCAGAGGTGTAGATAGCTAATGCAGTGTTTGCCAATCCTTTCGTGATAGAAGTCTGATGTTCCTTGAGTGTTTAAAAGGCACATTGTAGCATTTATGTATTCTAAGTGGTGGCTGGATCTATGATTGTTGATGGGAGATAGTGTAGATGCCTGGTTGGAGGTGCATGTCCGAATGGTCTTTAGCATTGCGGAGGAGGGAGGAATAAAGTCAAAATAACTGGTTATTTTTCTTGGATATTTCTTTGTAAAGGGAGGCTAGCTTCCTGTCATAAGTGATGGTCCTATAAACTGTGTCCTGGGTGTGAATTTTCAGTGAGGCAAAAATGGTAGAGGAAAGACGACATATAAAACCTTTAATAGTCTGTGGGAAGTAGCCATGCTGAGTTGCATACCAGAAGATCATTAGGAGCTCTCTATCTCTGTCATATATGTCTGATAAATGGATGAAGACCCTGAACCTAGTTATCTTAAAGGTGAATGGATCATGGGATGAGGATGGGATGAAGGTCAGGTGGTGTATAGGTTTTCTATAAACCCGAGTAGTTATACGTCCTTTGGATGGGGAAAGTGCAAAGTCCAGGAAATGAAGTTTGATCATTTTCCTGACGATGCCAATTTCAACATAAGTGAAAACATTTGCACGTATTTTAAAAAATTGCCAGATCATAAGATTTTAGAGTTTATAATTTTAATTTGAGTATATCCAGTTTAGAGTGGTAGTAATAGAAAATATCTTTTCATAATTCTTGTCACATTAAAGATTCTAGTTGGCTTCTCATTGTGCATATTCTACAGCAAATTCTGTAGACAAATCTCAGCGCAAATTCCTAATGCACCTCTCTTGGATGGCTTGTGTTTTTACCTTATTTTAAGTAAAAACAAAATTTTCTGGATTTAACAGTCATCAGTATAATACTTTTGATTAACAGACAAGGTAAATCATAATTTTTTGGGAGTTACAAGCAAACATCAAGAGAATTATTTGGCAGCTATCTTAACTGTTATGACAGTTACTATACATCATAATCATCTCAATCAATACTCATCACACACTGTAACACAACAATTTTATAGATCCAAATTCTGAGTAAGTTTTGGAATTAAATAGCCTAAGTTTAAAAGTGTAATACTCTAATCTAATTATTATGTGAAGGATTTAGAAAAAAATTGAAGATACAATTATCTACAAACAGATTTTCATATTAAAAACAAATCATTCTCATTTGTTTTAATTAATTATTAAATTATTGTATAAGAGCTTTGTAATATATTATGAAACATTTCACATCATAGCATAGCATATTAAAAATTTAGTTGCAGCAGTAACTATTGCTCAAATAATTAATTCTGACTATTATGAGTTTTCATTTAAGCAAAATTTACTTAAAATTTAGATATGATGAAAAGCAAAGTTCAAAAATAATCCTATTTTAAAATAAAATTTAACTCTTACCTATTATAGGAGTTTACAATTTAATGTTATTTAGAATATTGATGTAGTAAATTTTTTTAAATCTGCAATTCATTTTATATAACAATTACATCATAAAACTATGGAAAATAAAATTGCAATTAAAAACATTATCCAAATTTCATGTTTTAATATAATTTGATAGTTCTGATTATCAGTTAAATCAAATAATGTATATAGGATAAATTATATACATAAAATCATATAAGTAAGGCAAAAAAATAAATAAATAAATAAATAAACCAAACAGTAATCATATTGTAAAAATTTTTTTATTCAACAAGAACTGAAATACAAAGATTTTATTTCTAATGCCGCTCATTATTTCATAACACAAGGCTGAAAACGGATCGTTTCAAATATCTGTAAAATTTCAGTGCAATAATAAACTCCATACTAATGCACAAGGTATGATTATTATGGAACATTTCCAGTATTTTAATAGGAAATTAATATTGATAAATTTTAAATTTTCTAGCATGACTTCATTGAAATTCTTTATCAATCTGTTAAATCAATATGATAAAAACAGTTTGATAAAATTTCAATGAAACTATATCTTACATTTTAAATTTGCATTTTAAAGATTTATAAAGGTTTGTTCTGATTAAATTAATATGAATTTATTATTAATGTTTATGAAGTAACGATTCTGTAATGTATATGATGAATGATAGAGGACTTGGTGCATAATATATTACACAATGCACAACATAATGAAACACACAAAATCATAAAACACAGCAAAGGAATGGTTCTATGTTAAACAATTTTAAGCAAATGAGAATTATGAACCCAAACTGTACAGTTTATTATTAAAATATCAGCCTTGTGCAATGGTAGGAAAATGTCCTTGAACTTCACATCCTAAATGACTGCCAGGCACAGATGTCTTCTAATGGCAAAAGGAAAACCTCAATTACAGTTCTTTCATAGGGAGGAAAATATAATAAAATCCTACCCTATGTAAATAGATTCTGTGCTTGGCAATCCTAGGAAAGAAATGATTGAGGTCCTTCTTGATGTATCTACTATAGCTGTACAATGAATTCTAGGAGTGTTAACAGTTCTTTTCACTCCATTAAACAACTCTCAATCTTCATCATCTCTTTTCCGTTTTTGCCCCCTCGCTGTTGCATCTATAAACAAAAAAATAATTTTTTGTAAGCATTGTTAGAAAGCTTATTTTATCATATAATACAAAATTTTAATATTGCTAAGAATGTTTGAGAAACATGCTAACTAATAAGAACTATACACTTCATATCTACAACTAAGCTTGTACCAAAAGTAATTATTGCCAATTTTTTACAAACTATAACACTCAATCTGCAGAGAAAAAATGAGTATACTATTGGGTTGCTCGGACAATACATAAAATCATATAAGTAAGAAAATAAAAACAATTTTCTTATAATATATAAATATTTTATTGAATTATATATTGACCATTTTGGTCCAATACCTTTTGCTACCTTTCTGGTAGTAGCATGATTCAAGCTCATAAAAGTTCTGATCTTTGCTTACAAAAACTAATTCAAGTGATTTTTGACATTCTCATCTGAAGTAAATGTTTTACAGTTTAAAAAATTTTGTAAAGACTGGAACAAGTAATAATCCGAGAGTGCCAGAGCTGGTGAATATGATAGGTGTGATACCACATCCCATCCAAGCTCTAACAGCTTCTGACAAGTTATCAATCTTGTGTGAGGTCTGGCATTATCATGGTGAAACACTATGCCTTTTCTGTTGATCAATTCTGGCCTTTTCAGTTTGATGTTATCACTCAATTTGTCCAGTTGACAGCAGTACACTTACAAATCAATTGTGGAATTGTCTAGAAGCTCAAAAAAAACCAATTCCCTTCAAATCCCACCAAACAGAAAGCGCTACTTTTTTGATGAATATTGGCTTTCAAAGAATCATTTCAAATGGATAATTTTCTTGACATTTGAGAAGCAAAATCACGGGTGTCTGTGCGACAGAGCAAATATCTTTAAGAACATGTGGATGCCATATAACAAGCTTTGAAATGAAATCAAGTCGTTTCAAGTGATCATAAACAGTTGAATTTGACAAATTTAATCTCTTAGCAATTTCTCATGTTGTTATCCAGCAGTTTGCTTCAATCTACCTTTATTTTGTCTTCATCAGCTTCAACTGGCCTTCCAGAATGTAGTGCATCTTCAATATCGAAATTGCAGGAATAAAATTTTGCAAACCAGTTTTGGCATTGTTGTTCTGTCAACACACCTTCTCCATACATGTCACACAATTTTCTTCTTGCTTGAACAGCATTCTTACCTTTTTCGTAATAAAAAAGCAAAATATGCTGAAAATGATGCTTTCAATTTTCCATACAGTGATACCCCGAACTTACGCGATAGGTGGGACCAAGCGATAACCGTGTAACTCGAATTCGCGTAAGTCGGGGTATAATTTCGCAATTTGTGTAAAATCCAGATTGGAGGTATGTAAGCTAATAAATGTTCTCGTTAATCTTATCTCGTCTTTTGATTTATTCATGGTTACAAGAAATCACACATAGAGTCTCTCAAGTCTCTGTAGATATAAAATACATAGAAATAAATAACACAAAATAAATTGTAGCTATGCGTCGATTCACAAACGGATAAACACAAAATGAAACAAATGGGCTTTGCACTTGACTTCCTCACATGCTGCACACACACAGGAGATAAGTTTCTCAATGATGAAACTTGGATTTACCACAATACTCCTGGTTCCAAAAAACAATTGCTGCAATGGCACCATACACATTCCCCATAACCCAAGAAATTGAAAACTTCAATTTCAGAAAAAAAATTATGGCTTGTTTTGTGGGACAGAAAAGGCATTCTTCTGATTGACTTCATGCCTCCTGGCACTATAATTAATGCTGCTCCATATTGCCAAACTTTGCAATGCTTTTGATGGGACATTCAAAACAAATGGAAGGGAAGTTGACAACTGGTGCCTGCCTACTTCATGACAATGCTTGGGCTCAAACAGCAATTGTCATCAAAACACTTCTCAAACAATTCAAATGGAAAATTTTTTGACCATCCTCCATATGGCCCAGATCTTGCTCCATGACTTCCAATTATTTATTTATCTGAAGAAACATCTTGCAGGACAACAGTTCCAGAACAATAATGAGATCAAATATGAAGTTAAAATGTGGTTCCAGCAACAAGTGGAGGAATTCTATGACTCTGATATATATAAGCTAGTAACACAGATTTGGACAATGGTGGTAATTATATAGAAAAATAGTGCATAAACCAGTAAATAAGGTGTAGTGAATGTTTGTTCAAATAAAAGTATTTTGAATGAATATTAGCCATTGTATCTTTACTTTTCAGACATGCCATCTATATTTTACAGGACTTAGAGCTTGAACTTTATATTCACTTTGCCTTGTTCCACTTTACAATGTTTTCAACTGAAACAAAAAACAAGCCAAACTATACTTGCTTTACGAGGTACTAAACTGATATTCTTTTAACTCCTAACAGCATGGAGATAAATCCAATTCTATTTTGCTAATGTTTATTAGACTGAGGATATCATTTCTTTGATATAGCAGACCAAATCAGTTACTTTGATACCTTAAGAAAGCTACATTAATTAATCAGTGGTATTTTTAAATGAGTTCAAAATAAATGATAATTAAAAGTTATTGATATATCATTTAAAACAATATAGCAATTATGTACTGTATAGTAACATAATACTTCCAATCTATAAAAGAAACATTTGATTAAGAAATGAAACCAATTATAATCAGTTGTGACATTTTATTTTCTGATGACTTTGCTTCTGGTCTATTAGCATATCTTTTGTCTGACACAAAGCATCAAAGTTTGTAAGATTTTCAAGAAATTTTTTTTATTACAGTTTAAATGTTTATCAGTAAATTGTTAAATAAAACCAAGCCTCATATTTCCTATAATAAACACTAGTACATCTAATGTCCTTTAGCATGCTTGTAATTGTAATTCTTCATGACAATATTCTTGAACATTATATTTTTTGAGATCAGCAAATTGTTTATGTTAACTTTCCATACAATTCTATTTTATAAAGAATGAGATTTTTTCATTTATCTTTATTATCCAATTCTCTTGATTAATTATTCTTTTTTTGGTATCATGCTCAAGAGCATGATACCAAAAAAAGTAGGTGTAAAAATTAGTAAAAACTAAATTAGTAAAAAAATTAGTAAAAATTAGTATAAAAAATTAGTAAAAACTAATGAATTACACTTAAAATTATACTTTAGCTTCAGCTATTAATAGTTCAAGCAACTGCCAAGACAACATTAAGTAGCAAATAAATATTAACTTGGTTTTTAGAAATAAATTAAATAACAAAGCAAATAAATCTATTTGTTAATAAAATTAATTTTTAAGCAGTCATGGTCACATGAGAACATATGACAGACTCCATGCTTGACACCCTTATGTTAAAACATTCCTTTTGAGCATTATTCTAAGTTTGTCTTTCAAGGAAATCCTATCTCAAATTATTGTACAATGACAATATAGTAGGCATAAAACTTGTCCCCACAAAGGACAGATAATTTGGCATATATTGGCTGCAGACAGAAGGCAAAAGAGCACCAGTATGAATACTGGATGCACCAACTATGACAACTTTCTCAGTCCACTTCACAACTGAAAAACATTAAGCAATAGGATATGACAAATATTATTAGGCAAGTTTACAATCCAGGTTTTGTTAAAATAGATGAGAAATTTATAAGCAAGATGTTCTTAGCCAATATCTAAACCATAATGATTCAACTCATTTATCTAATGCTTGGAAGTTTTTGTTTATAAAGTTTCTTATGCATTGGCAAAGATGAAATATTTTTGTTTCTTTTAATTATAACTTTAAGTTAAAAGAACAGATAAATAAATTTTATGCACGTTTCTAAGAGAGAATTGCAAAATAAAAGCATAAAGGCAAGGAAAAATGCAGACATCTTAACTAATAGTTCTGATCATCTGCATATTAACAAAATAGTACACAAACAAACATACAAAAGTGCAGTGTTTAGATTTATTAATATTAGTTAGATTTAGTAGATTTATTATGATCATAGATATATACCTAGTAGTTTTTCTGATACATTATATTTAGAAAAAATTATTCTAAAATATTTTTGAAAAATCTATCTAGACAGATAAAATACATAAAGGAAAAAGTTTTATCAACAAAGTTTTTCTTTTTGATTTTACATTCAACACTGATATATACAAGATCTAATAACTTGAAATTGTTTCATAAATATACTGTCAAAACCTGTAAGTATTTGTGCAGAATTTTTAATAATGTAGACTTCCTTGAAATAATGACTGTTATAAATTTTACTTTCCTAACAACATTATGTACAATAGTGCCTTGTACTTCAAATTTAATTCATTCCAGGAGATCATTCAAACTCCAAATCAATTTTTTCCCATTAGAAATAATGAAAAGTGAATCAATCCATTTCCAGACCCTAAACATCACCCATTTCAATAAACTTAAAATCAAATACACATAATAAATTAAAACTTGAAAACCACAATTAAAATATGTAAATACTGTATAATAAAATGAAAATCATGTTTACTGGTGCACACTGTATGCTTCCATGTGGAATAAACAATTTGTGAAATATAACGTTATCATACATTATCAATGTGAGATTGTATTCTTTGTTTAGAAGCTTACTTTAATCTTTTTGCTTCACATTTTGTTTGAATAAAATCAAGTAATGTCTTTGGATAAAAAGCATATTGACATATTATGTTTTATAAGTTTTGGAAAAAATGTAACATCCTACAAACAATAAAAAATTGTAATATACATGGTAAAGATATCTTGCTCCTAAACTTCAAACATGTCAAATGTGGTTTAAAAAGTTCAGTTTTGGGAATTTTGAATTAAAAGATACAAAACATATGGGGTACCTAAAGCTGTGGTTAAAGAAAAATTGCAGGAAGAAATTGTTAAAAATCAATGAATAACACACATTACAGTATAACCAAACAAACATAAGCAGTGAAAACATACAAAAAAATGCAAGAGCAAGAGATGACTGAAGATACAACAGATTGTATTTATGCTTCAAGTGCACTTTTTCACTATGTGTATAGTTCAAACCTCAAAGCATAGTTTGAACTCAGATGAATTTTTGTCAAATTTTGCATTCAGACTCTTAAGCATTTGAAGTTAGAGTTGTTGAAGTACAAGGTACCACTGTATTACCTGTATACTTTTTAGTCTGACTATTATCTTGACATTTTTAGGTAGAAAGATAAATTTTATAAGCTTTGAGAATTATTTTATCAAAATTTAAAAAGACTAAATATTTACCATCTGCTTCATCTTCTTCATCCTCATCATCATCTGGGTTAAATTCACCTTCACTTTCTTCCTAAAATTTATTTCATATTAATACATTTGCAAAATTAATTTATTATAAATTAAATTGTTTAGAATAATCACTGAAATATTAGAAATGTTACATTTGTTATGATAAAGATTATGTGGTCGTCTTAAAATCAAAATAATCTAAACAAATATGATTAATGTTTAAAAAATATAAAGAAATATTTCTTATTCATCAACATCCTAACAATAAATGAGAGACTTCAAATTTGTTTCCAGGCAAAGATATTAAATTCAAAATATGATTAGAGGGGTAAAACTGCATTCTCATAAATATTAAATGCCTTATACAGGGTGTCTATAATTAAAGGAAACAAAACTGTTAAGAGACAGATAAAATTTTGTAGGAAAATTTTATCTATCTCAATACAGGAAAACTGTGTACAAAAATGGTTATGACTTTTGTTGGTAAAGATCTTTAATGACATCATTGTCACAGCAGCACTACAAAAATACTACAAACTTGTCATCCCTAAACACCATAGCAGAGATGTTTGAGTAAAATCACATTTACACAAGAGAGTGTAAGACCCTACATTGCAGTCATTTAAGAAACATACTGTCTGACATATTTACGATGAAAGTAGGATTTGAAACTCAGTATTTTGAGACTTCGCAAATCTAGTCAAATCTAGATTTCCATGTTTATTATATATTTGTTCCAGTTTATTAAACTTTAATATCTATGATGCATTCAAACAAAGAAAAATCTAAATATTTTTAACAAAGTACAAATAAAATAGTTTAGTTACTTTTTATGTATCATTTATACCAAGATTTCATACATTTAGCAAAAACAATCAACTAATTAGACTTTATATCCTATTTGCAAATGCCTCTTTAATTATAATTACTGTTTGAAACAATGCCTTCTTATGATATTTCAAATTTGTACAAAATGAACCACTATGTTGTATTACATGAAATAAAATATCTTATATAGAAATAAATCAACTAAATATTTAGAAAGTTTACTATAAATACTTATAGTATTTCATTTAAAGTTCAGTTGTATTTTTACTCTTTCCTCCCTATTGCACTAAGAGCTTTTTTTCATATTTAGGGTGGATTCAGCCAGACCCACAACTGGGAAAGCTAACCCAACTTATTTGAGTCAGACTACACTCAAATAATTCCTAAGGGTTACTTCTCTCAGACTCAATCCCAGGCCCCAGAATGATAGGCTGATGTCTAGTTACTTCAGTCATCTGGCCATTGAGCTTCCAACTAAGATTACCTTGAAGAATTTCAGACTTCTAATTTCTTTGGTATTTTTTACTTTATCTGTTTTTTTATTTGAAATTTTTACAAAATAAATAAATAAACATAACAGCAAATGACTCTCAAACTGGATGGACAAAAATACATCTCTACAATACTTTGATTTGTTGTGAATTTACAATACTTGATCCAGTCCAGCTGTAAATGAACATAATATGTAACTTACATACCTTTAAAACCTTAAAATTCCAGTAAATACAGTAGAGCATCGATTATCCAAATATCGATCAACCAAAACGTCAATTAACCGAAAGCTTTCCAGTCGGTAAATTTAATTTCTGCTAGTGCTGTGGTGCAGCAATCTTTGGCTATGTCTTGGGCTACTCCAATATTATTTTTGTTGGTGTATGTGTTTTAGCTGGCAGCACTGGCGCGACCATGAGAGGATACTTAAAGACGTGCCAGGATTTGAATGAATTTTAACATGGGATAGGTTAATAATTTTTTCGTACATAATCGGTTATCCGAAAAAATCAATTTTTCGAACAACCCCAGTCACCAATTCATTCAGATAATCAAAGCTCTACTATAACTATAATAGACAAATGTTTTTGATCTAATATTAAGACTGTCTTCAAAGCCCTTTAACATTCCAATTATGGAATGTAAAAACAAACAATGATGTACAGTAGAGTCTCAAAAACTCAGCCTAATGTGGACCGAAGGGTGGCCGAGTTTGTGAAAATGCTGGGTTATCGGGAATGGGGTTAAAAAAAATAAGTATGAGTGTTTCCTCAGAAAATACTGTACTGTACTTGTATGTATTGTTTACTTGAGAATACAACAGAGACTAAACTGCCCAAATACCCTTAAACAAAGGAAAAGTACGTCCTTTATGAAGGCATAGAGCCTTTACTACATGAAAATGAAAATTAATGAATACACTGTGTACAGTAATTTACCTGATAAGACAGACCTCAGAAAAATACTTTATGGGGCATAAAGCTGTCTATAATAAAAATTAATTAACTAAGGATTTTTTTGCCCTGCCAGGGTGTGGCCGAGTTATCCGGACTGCCGGGTTATCGAGTGCCGAGTTTGAGACTACTGTATTACTAAAATGGAGAGGAAAAAATTTAAAAACATACAACTATCGCAATAGTTTTACAACTAAAGTATTCATTTAACATACAAGAGAATTATCTTAACATCAATATCTAACAACAGTCTGTTTAGCAGTAATTTTATGTAAAGTTTGAGTGTGGATAATATAACGATATATTACAAAATGGACGAAATTTCCACAAATAATTACAAATAAAACTTTTTTGTGGTGTTATTCATTTAAAAAAATACATCATTGTTCATTTATACAAATTAAAGGGCCTGAAGACAATCTTATATTAGATCAAAACATTTGTCTATTAAAGTTATTTACTGGAATTTTAAGATTTTTAAAGGTGGGTAAGTTATAGTTTATATGTTATCTAGTTTTGTGTAGAAGAAAAAGAATTTGAAAGTAACATGGATACTGATATTCTGTAGTGTATGTTGGATTTGTGATTGTGATGTGGATTTTGATTATTTACAGTAGAGCATTGATTACCCTAATACTATCAACCAAAACAAACAAAAAAGCGTTCAAGTTGGCAAATTCAAATTTCCTCTAGTGCTGTGGCATTGCAGCACTCTTCCCCTCCCTGCCAACCCAAACTATAGGTCTACAAGGGGTGTTCAAAAAGTATCAAACCTTTGGTTGGCAAAAATACATTTATTGATTTTGAGGTACTGTACAAAACCCTAATCCCCTTCAAAGTAGTCTACTTTGTAATGTATGCACTTCTCCCATCACTCTTGCCATTGCTGGAAACACTGCTGGAATGCATCTTTTAGAATGACCATCAGCCGGTCCGTTGCATTCCACATGATGTCTTCTCTTGACTAAAATTGGGTTACTTTTAGCTTGGGAAATAGCCAAAAGTCACATGGAACCATGTCGGGAGAGTACGGAGCGTGATGAACCACAGGAATGTTGTGTTTGGCGACGAAAGTCCAAATCAGATGTGCAGAATGGGCGGGTGCGTTATCATGATAGAGCTGCCACGTTTTGGTTGACCACAGATCCGGTCGTTTGCATCGCACAGAATCACAAAGACAACAAAGGACCTCCTGGTAGTACTCCTTTGCGGTGGTTTGGCCTTGTGGTGCATACTCAGGATACACCTCCCCACGGGAGTTGAAAAAAACTGTCAACATGACCTTGACATTGCTGCAGACCTGCCACGCTTTTTTTGGCCTCAAGGATCGTCCCTGAAAGCCTGCTGAATCTTGAAAATGGTTTCCGCTTGTGGCAAAATTTGATGCAATATCGCTGCTCACGTTGTTCAATCATTTTCCAACTTAGTGGAATATGATGAGAGCTCACTACACGTCCTCACTCATAGGCCAACTGCCAGCGACTGATGCTTCCTACAGGTGGGAAAAAATTCAGGACTGTGCGTAACTGTCCCCTCCACAACTCCACCGAAAGAGACCTCCCATGCATCATTGGTTTACATGGAAAAAATAAAGGTCCGATACTTTTTGAACACCCCTCATACTTTAATGTACTATTTTATATAAGGTGTGTATTTGTAAGATGTGTGATAAAAAATATATACAACAAGTTTTGTGTTTAATATATTTTTCATAAATGATCAGTTATCCAAACAACCACAGTCCCAAATTGTTTTAGATAATCAATGCTCTACTGTAATTGTATTCTGAATCAGCATGCAATTTCATTTTATAATCTGGACTATTTTCAATTTTCTGCATTGTAAAGTTTCAAATTCACTTAAAAATTCTGTTGTGCAAGTTGTAATATCAGTATTTTATTATGATGACAAAACTAAGATAGTTGTATTTCATTTACAAATTAGTAATGATAAAATACAACTAGCATGTTATCCTTATCAATTACATTTTGTTTCCTTACAGCTTTACTAATAATGCTTTTCAATCAACAACCAATGGTTTCTATTTAATGCAGTTAAAACACAAACTTTGAAGACTGAGAATTGAGTCAAGTAATAACATCATTTTTGCTTCACTTTTTTAGAAAAATAACAGAAAATAATACTGTTATGTTGAATTATCAGTCAATCAGTAAAAAACTTTCCTAACTGGAAGTTCCAAGGGGCAGGAAAAAACTTTGAGTTACAGACAATTCAAGTTAGAAAACAATAAAGTAAGAAATGCCTTTTCTGAATAGATATGTATGTTTACCTCTCTTGCATTATATAAAGAATCTTTGATAACTTTTTTATTTTAAACAGCCCTTGTAATTCCTTTCAGCAAAGCATTCAATGTAACTAATGAAATTTAACAGTTTTGTAGGTATATCTTGTTGAGAGGACCTCTCACTTTGAACTGGAACATTGTCTGAAAATTGGTAGATACAACTGTCTGAAAATTTCATGAAATCCAATAATTAGGATCACTTTGGATAGAATAAATATTAAAATTCAAGTCCAGGAAGTAGAATTTAACATAAATCAATTAGGAGACCAAGAAAAACTTCAACTTTGAGAAAATTAAAGTTAAGAAATTCAAGCTGGAGACATTAAATCCCTATGCTGTTCCATTGAGACTTCATTTTCTTCAAGTTAAAGAGACAAGTTTACTGTATTTTTTTCTTATTTAAATGTAAAAATGCAACAAGTTTTTATTACTTTCAGCATAACAATTACTAGGTTACATGTCTTATACATTGTGCTCATTAAAAATGACCTTGAAAAGATCATCTTTCATTGAATCTCAATTACAGCTCATACATATACTGTCAGCTACTTATTTGCTTGTCTAATACTTAATATTTCTTTCATATTAATTAAAGTAAAGTAACATTTGTATAAAATTTAGATAATTACTATGTAACTTTTAAATTAAAAACAGTAGTAAAATAAATTTTGTATAACATCATCTACAGTACATTTCAGTAACTGGAAAAACAAAACAATTTTTCAGCATACTATTGGAAGGGCTGTCATTACAATCAGTAAGATATTTTATCATATAAAATCTCATATTCATCTCAAGATTTTAATGTTAATGTTATCTATTGTACGAACAAATAACATTCACTCCATCAACTGTATTCTGAAAATTTGGCATGTAACATTTTTTCAACAAAACACAGATATGTCCAGGCTCTTTAGCTATGATATCCATCTTCAGGAATGTCTATCAGAACCACTTCATTGTCATGGAGTTAAAACATTTTCAGTATTTTTCATACAGATGAAATTTTTCTTAACTTACAATAAAACTGAATAAACAATTTTTTAACATATTGTTAATTTATTTTTTTCAAAATATATTATTTTACAAAGTATCACAATATAGTAAGATTACTTTTATTGAATAATTATAGTTTTTATAATATTTTGCAAACAAATTGTTTAGATTTAAAAAACTGTTCTATTTATATAATAAAAATTCTAATTAAAAGATATCACAAGTGTATCATATTTCACAAAATAAAATAATAGAAAGAAAATATTTGTATGGTATTGTGAGAACCTGGACTAAATAGAAAAGATTTACTTAATTTACTTAAATAATTTTGCTAAAATTTTCACTCTCAACCATGATAGCAGAAACTGATTCCATTTCCCCACAGACTTGCTTCCTTGTCCAGAGATGACATCATCTGATTATGTCACTTTTGACTGTATCGAGAACACACAAAAAAAATCACTATTGGTTTAACTAGCCTACATTACCAAAAAATGGACATAGAACCAACAGGGGAGGACCCCAAATAAAAGGAAAGGAGCCAGTCATCACAGAGAGTCTATTGTCATCAAGTGTTTGCTCCAGTCTTGGATATACACTGCCCATAAAAATCACCACCACCAATTATCTCCAGGGACTAACTAGTCCTAGTGAAATCTGATTGCCAATGACCAGAATCCTACATGTCAAGTGGCAGCACCATCCTCCTAAGATTACGACAAAGGACCTACACCTTCAGGTAAATACCAACTCTTAATCAAATGCAAATTCTCTCTTTTGGTTGGGGATCAGATAAGATTTAATTGATATGCTCTTTGATTACTATATAGTCAACCTTTACATATTACACACACACACACACACACACATATATATATATATATGTATAATGTAAATAAATGGTTATTTGTTTGCATTACATAAGTAATAGAGTGCAACTTCTTTCAGACGCACTATCTCTTAGACCTCCTCTATCCCGAATCTAACCACTTGCACATAAATGAACTTACTGTAGCAGACATTGAAGTTTTTGTGTCTGTCCATAAGACAGTGGTGTCAGTCCTGACAAAACAGTCATTGCAGATGCAATGTTAACCCTTTGGTCAAGTGGTACAGAATGTGGAAGCATAGGGGCACTTGCACATTGGTCACAGTATCAAAATAATAAGAGAAATTTAGTCATTAAATATAATATGTAAACATATACACACACATTATTTTTGTGCTATATATCACACAAAAAATAATAATAATGGTTGGACAAAACTTTTATAGAATATTCTCTAAGAATATCATCTATCAATTAATAAATCTATATGCTAATTACCTCTGGACTTTTTTAGCTAGCAAAGACACATTAAATTTTATTAATAAAAGCCTCAAACCACTTAGAGCCTTTTTTTTTTGTTTCCAGTACTGTTTAATAAGTATTGTTCCTGTAGTTATGTGGATACTGCACTATTTTTTGTATTCTGTGTATTCAAAAGTTTCATGTCTTTGAAATTCGTTAACATTCTAAAACACGTTCCATTTTATGTTGACTAGAGAAAAATCTTGCCTAGATCGAAAACATTTGTCTTTAAACATTGGTTAATTATTAAACAGTACTGAAAACCAAAAAAAAGTGCTTTAAGTGGATTGAGGTTTTCATTAGCAGGATATTACTTTTCAGTCTTATTTATGTGAAGTTATTTCACATTAAATTTTGTTCAAACCTATAATGATGCATACCATTTTGATTGGTTCAATGTGCAAATGATGTAAAAAAATCAGAAAATGTGAGAAAAGTCAATTTTAATTGAACATAAAATATGCCAGTCACAAATTTTCCAAAAGAAATTTGATAAAGAATTTGGCAAAAAATTTTAGAAGCAGATGACAATTACTGTGGCAACTCAGAAGCCAAGGCAAGGTAAGGTCCATTCGATTCATAAATTATTTTCAACTTTTTCCCTGATTTTAACATATTTGATACAGCTTTTAACCCACATATTAAACAAATGACAAACATTTTCACACTATAACAGCTGCTTATCTGAATAATCCATTGTTTTTGAATTCTTTCTCCATATAAAACATTGTGTAGCAACATAAATTATTTAAAACTCATGTTTGCTATGCAAAGTTTTTATAAATTATTTATTAAATACCTTTCATTTTTAAATAAAATGACAATAATAAATATATTTGATATATATGAAGTTAATGAAAACCTCTGAACTATATTAATCAAAAGGGAATAATATACTTCTGTTTCTTCATATCAGCTAGAGCCATCATCAGAAACTTTTGAACTTTTGAACAAAAATTATTTATTTGTACAGAAATATTTTTGTACAAATAAATAATTTTTGGTAACCTGAACAAGAAGTTATATATTATTATTCTTTATTTGATATATTCTCCAAACTCTTACTTATGACTGATTTATTATTTAAATTTACCTCTTCCTCTCCATCATCGGCATCTTCATCAACATCATCATCGTCGTCGTCATCATCTCCTTCTTCCTCTTCATCATCAACATTTACATCATCATCTTCCTCTTCATCTAAAATGCAATTTCACCATAAGTAAGGTTATTTCAAAATAAAACCAATAATTAATATTTAATTAAATTGCCTCAATGTCCTTTTTTCCTTATTAATATGTAAATTTTTCCTTATTAATATGTTAATATAAAAATTTTTATTTTATTTCGTATACCTGCAGGTATACGAAATAAAATAAAAATTGTTTTCTATTAATCTTTGTAATATTATCTGTAAAACCAGTATAATAAGTCCTGATAATAGATGAAAGTCGAATTTATAGTCAAAAAATTTACATATTAATTAATTAAAACCAATAATGTTTAAAAATTAAATATATTAGGCTTACAAAATCATTTGCTATTATAACAAACTATAATTTCATTATAAAGAACAATCTCTTCTATACTCAAAAAGTATATCAAATATTCATCTATCCTTGTACACTGAGAAAAATTAGAGACACCCTCTAATAATGAGTTGGTCCACCTTTAGCTCTGATCACAGCCGATATTCTTCTTGGTACAGACTCAACAAGTTGCTGATACTGCTGCTGAGGAATATTGGCCTATAATGGCAGCTCTAAGTTGGGTCAGATTGAATGGTGTCGTTTCCAAGCTTTGAAGTGATCTTTTGACTTCGTCCTGCCAATGCTCTGTAGGATTGAGGTCAGGGAACTGAGCTGGCCATGGAAGCAGGTTACAGTATGATTGATTTTCCTTTAACTAATTTCAGATCAATTTAACATGGTAACAAGGTGCACTGTCCTACTGAAAGTGACCATCTCCATCAGGGAAGCATTACAGCCATAAATGAGTGTACATGTTTGACAATGATGTTGAGGTAAACTGTTCTATTCAGAGATGTGTCCACAAATATTAAAGGATCTAGTGTACTCCAGGAAAACATTCCCCACACCATAATTCCACCGCCACCAGCCTGAAGAGTTGTCATTTGGCAGGAGGGGTCCATGAATTTGTTGTGTGCACCATATTCTGATCCTGCCATCTGCATGATGGAGCAGGAAACAAGATTCATCAGACCAGGCTACTTTTTCCAGTCCTCAAGTGACCAATTTTGTTGTTCCTGGGCCCATAACAGGCACCTTTTCCTATTTTTCTGTGATACCAAAGGCACTCTTGATGATCTCCTGCTGCTAAAACGCATCATTTGCAAAGTGTGTTTTGTTGTGCATTGAGATATGCTTTGTGATGCACTTGCATTGAATTCAGCTGTAATTTGTTCTTGTCTTTCTGTTGCTGTGACTATACATGCTAATTGCCTTTCACCTCTCTTGTTCACCAGCCTTTTTCAACCAGAATTGTCCTTATTGCTTGTTTTTTTTTCCTCAACTGCCACTGTCTAAACACCCAAGATACTGTTGGGCAAGAAAATCCTAAAAGAGTCGTCGTTTCAGAGATGCTCACACCAGCTCTCTTCAGGCGAATAATGGTTACCCGCTGGAACGTTGTAAAAGGCTTGTTTGAGTTTTATATTCCAAAGCCTTTTACAATGTTCCATCAGATAACTGTTATTCACTTGAAGAACTCTGGTGGAGTTTGAAAACATTTGCATTAAATATTTTGTTTGTTTTTTTGTTTTGTGCACACCAGTTATTAGTTCTGGGTATGTTATTGTTACAAACAAATTGAAAATTTCAATATTCTAAAATCCATGGGCAAATTTGAGACAACACACGTTTACTTTAATAATAATAATAAAATATTAAATAACAAGGAACAAGGTTTGCATTAAAAATAGTGAAATTTTGTACAGAGGATTTCCCAAATTCTCAAACTTTGTTAGAGCAAACAGTGTTTAGAAGTGTCATGTACAAAGGTTACCTGTATTTTAATTTTCACCTGTTAATAAAATTGCATTTATACCTTATGCCGGTAATTGGTTCCAGGAGAGGCAACTTAAGTCGAAAAACGATGTCAGTCGAATTTACTTGTCACTAGACTAAATCACAAATAATCATTCCCAGTTCTGTATTTTATTTATAAATGAATTTTTAAATCTATTTTAAGCTTACAAACAAATAAATTTTAGTTTTTAATATAGTACAGGAAAAAGTAATCTAAATTTACGAATATATGTACGTTACATACTGTATATTACATACTTGTAAATATACATGTTTACAATTTGGCGATGTTTACAGTACATCGCAGACTCTTTATTTGTGAATGTGGTTTGCTCTAAGACATTATAAAATATGATGATTTTGTAAGATTAAATAGCAAATACAGTTATTAAAATTATTTTGCAATAGTAAAAAATAAACTAATTTATGTTAAATTTACCAATAACAAGTGGTGCTGACAATGACACCAAACAGTAGCTATTGGAACTATCGTGGAAAATGCCAATATTGAGCTCTTAAAGACCGCTAAATAAGATGACAACACAGAGTCACTTCATATTTCATTCTCTACGATTTATGAGTAAATGTATGTATTTTAATATGATTTTATGTGCTTTTAACACTTTTCTAGTGATATTACAATTTTAATATTTGTGGTGGACAGAAGTAAAGTTGAATAAAATGACTTAAACTTGATTTTTATTTTTCCATACATATTTTTTGACAATGTATAATCAAAAATGACATAACTCGAAACAACATAACTCAAGGTATACCTGTTTAGAATTTCAATATGGAAAATATAAAAAAAATATATAAATTGAACAGATAAATGGAAAAGTGGTATAAATGACAAAACAGTTTTCTTTGTTAAAAATATAAAAATGCAAGAAAATATACTTATTTATTTATTTAATTTAATAAAATATGAATTTTTTAAAAATCAATGTTAGATTTTATCACTAATATATTCAAATTATGCTATTTGTGCCTTGTACCACTTTTCCACTAAATCCCTCAATTATAAATGTTTTTGGTGTTTTAGCTTATTCCTTATAGCAATGATGAATAATCTATGGTCCATGATTATAGATTACAATGTAAGGACCTGAAGAACACTTTTGAAACAACACCATTGGTATAAAGTAGTGATGTCCAAACATTTTCAAGCCTACATTTTCATAAAGTCCTACCATAAAGTCCTTCCATAAAGTTATACTCAATGCTCCCAAACTGTACCCCAATGTCCTCTAACCCATTTTTCCCTTGTGAAAAAGGCTTAGAAATATTTTTAGAAAAACTTTTCTATGAAACTCATACTTTATGTCCTTACCGTACATAGTTCTCCACATCTGGAAAGCATTAAAAGCAATGTTTCTTCTTACCCGTTTTAAAAGAGGAGGAAAGGGAAAGGTTGTCAGTGAACCCAACCTTCACCTATGGTCACCATTCAGTATCCTGCCTCCAGTGTCCCCCCCGATGCACACTTACTTCTTTATGCCCCCTAGATTTACTCACTGCCAACAGGGGGGTGGGTAGCACCACTTTGGGAACCACTAGTCTAAAAGATTGAAATCCTGCTCTGGATCAATCTTTTAATCCAGAATGTTCTAAATTATTAAATTTGCTCAAAAATTAATGTAAGTATTAAAATTAGTACATGATGATAATCTAATCACATCTACCTTTAGATCAAATTATTACACTTTTTCCATACACAATTATAAGTTTCCAGTCTTGGAAAATAGATTGCAAAATTTTTGTATAATATACATCTGTGAATTATTTTTTTAATAATAAACATAGTGAAGATTAAATTTAGAAACATATTCAATGATGTTTGATTAGAAAATATATTTGTTGTTTTCTCCCAAATATACTCTTAATATTAATTCTATAATGACTAAAACAATAATGCCAGTTTTCTACTGATTTTCTTCTGTTTAAATATGTATTAAAAATAACTTTATGATCTAATAATTTATAAAAAAAAACATGCTTTTTGTTGAGATTTAAGATGCAATCTGCAAATATTTTATTTTCTTCCAAATTGACCCTTGCACAAAAAGTTGTTTATCATTGACTAGTTTTTATAGGAATCTACGAAGATAGTTGCTTGTTAAACTTTCAACTATATTTTCAAATAATTTAAATCATTCAAATAATTCTAAAAGTTTATTATTTTAAATATAACAAGTTGAAAGAAAACTCTTATATTATTAACTTTTTAAAGAATATTATTTTTCATTCGCATTATATTTTTCAGTTAAAAAAAATTGTTTATGAAGTTTGGTATGTTCATAACATAATTAATTTGATATTAAAACAAATTTTTTTAAGGTGAATCGAAAATTAAATTCAGTTCACTCATCAGTGAATTGACTGACATTTTTGTAGTTATCTTTAAACAGTTTGTAACATAACTTCATTAATATTTGAATTAATAATTCATTTAATATAATTTATTTTAATAAATTTAATGTATGGCAAACATTATTTTAATTTTTTTAACCCACATGTTGAAACATTGATATTCATATCTGTTTAAATCTGTCTTTACATATTCCAATTGTAATACATTTTCAATTCTTCATTCATTAATCATTTGTATTCTGATGCATTTAAATAAATAAATAATTACATAAAAATCACTTTGAAAATAATCTTATTTTCATCTCAATTATCAAGATATAACAACAATCTAAATGTGCAATTTTATTACAATTGCTGGAAGAACAATTGTTTGTAAAAAATTCCAAGCCACTTGAATTCTCAAGAGCTCAGTTTCCTGTATTTCCAAATGAGTAGAAACTAACTTTTGCTCAGTAGTACACTATTCAAATATACACACACGCATATATACAGGGTGATTGAAAAGTTATGCACATAAGTAAGGAATCAATTTTATTTTGTGAGGTTAATGTACAAAAATACAGATAGTAGTAAAACAAATTTTATAATCTGATCTTTAAGAAAGGCAAAATCAAATCATGCTATTGCAATATATGTTCAAAATGTCTATTGTTCACCAAGTGCAAGCACAAGCTCTTTTTATGGTGTTTGATGCCATCTTGTGAAGCATTTGAAAACTGGTGCTTGCAATTGCCATTATAATGTTCCTATTTAATTCATCTATCGTGCATGAATATTTACACATGGGTTCCATTGAGATATTCCCACAGAAAAAAATCTGGAGATGACAAATTTGGTGATTGTGGATTCACAATCCTTTAGATATAAGACAGTTAACAAAGAATTCTTGCAACTGCAGAATCCAGATATTTCTAATAAAACTCATCTGCAACAGGTGCATAAAAGTGACTGGCAAAATAATGCTCAACAATGAAAATTTGTTATTCCTAAGGGTAATCATTTTACTTCCTCAATAAACAAAGCTATAATGCAGCCAATTTTATAACTTTTACACAAAAGTCAGAGTTTCTATTATTAAAAGTCACTATAGTGTCATCTTGTGGCAAGAGACATAATAAAAATAACTTGACACAATTTATACTAATATTTTGATGGGCAGGTTTTCAATCACCCTGTGTGTATGTGTATATATATTTATTTATTTATTTGATTTCCTAACATTTATAAATATTTATCTTCCAACATTCTTATATGCCTTACCACCATATAATCTTCATTTCTATTTTCAAACTATTATATATCATTGCAATTCAATCTGAAAAATATTGATAGAGATTTTACAAAATGTATTGCACAAAAAAGTTAAGAGTAGTCTTACATAAGATGGTATTTTAAATGAACAAGTTTACTATTTTTATTCACAAATATTCTGTTAAGTCTAAATTCTAAAATAATCTTCATGTTGTAGATCAGTTACAACTAATATACTGAATATGCATAGCATGATACAATATTAAGCATTAATGTGGATTATTAATTCTTGAAATATTTAAGCTAATATTTAAAACATTACTTTGTATAAATCATATTTCAACTGAAATATATTGATATTTAAATAAGTTTATCTAATGAAGAACTATACACAATAAAAAAATAATTAAAATTCAATATAAAAATTTAGATATATTTTTCTGCATTGCTGAAATACAATGAAAAAAAGCTGAGTATACATATATAAATAGAATATTTTTCCTACTTGTCCATAATAAAAAATAAATGGATGCTGATGATAACATTAATTTTAATTAATAATAAATTTCAGATATATCATTATATAAAAATTTTTTTTCAAGAAATAAAATCCTAAATTTTTTTTTAAAAGAATGCTGTTGACATCTCAATTTTATATTAAAATACAATATGATACAGCATATGAGTATTTAGTACCAATAAGATTCCTAATTCAAGTCACTATCTTAAAAAAGTAATTGAAAGTTAAGATTTTTTTGAAGTAATGATAATACAATTAAATACAAAGTCAGAAAAACAGTCAATAAATTTTTTTAGATATTTTCATTTAAATATTAATCTACCTTCTCCATCTTCTTCTTCATCTACATCACTGTCACATTCTCCATCCATATCATTTTCATCATCTTCATTTCCTAGGACCAAATAATTTTGATTGTAAAATTATTGCCCACACAAAAAGGTCGTTTAAAAAACATTCTAAACGTTCAGCATTTTTAATATTTTTTAAAAATTATTCAATATTTTAAATTTTATTGATGGTTAATTGTCATCAATTTTCTCATTTAAATTTTTAAGTAAAATTATAAATTATTTAGTATTAGTTGCTGAAAATTCTCTCTCTTTTGCACAAGAAAAGAGAGCTTACCTCATATACATATCTCTGATGAGCTTAATTGTAGTTAACTATAAACCTATTATATTTATTATTATTACTTCAATGAGTACAGGATAGTCCCAATATAATCATACAATTCAAAATTAATCTTCTATTGAAAAATTCACATAAAATATATCAAAAATCTCTTTATATTTGAGATCATAGTGACAAGTGATAGGCACATTTTAACACATCATTTATATGCATTAAAAAAAAAGGAGACTAGAGTACATAAAGTTGAAGACATCATATTATAATCATGTAATGAAATAAATATTATTATTTTATAAATTAATTTCTACACAATTAATTTTCTACCATAATAGGCATAAAATCTATACATGTTTCATTCCTGACAAAAGGAATTAAAATTATAGATGGGTCAGAGCATCTCTCTGTAACATCAATAATAATATAAGTTAGAAAAAAAATAGTGAAAATTTATCACAAAAGTATCAAATTTTAGCCAATTTTGTTTTATTGTTTTATTTTCTAATTTAAAATCTTTTTCTTCTTTTCTAAATCCATAGATAATATGCATGATGAGAAAAAGAAAACTTCACCTCAAACAAATATTCATATGACACGTTCAGAGTACTATCTAGTATTATTTTCAATATATATTATTTTTATGTCCAATCAGACAATTCAAAATCATATTGTTTTAATCATTATAGAATTTTCTAAAATGTTTTTCCATTATTCAATATTCTTGAATTTTAGAAGAAATAACAGTATGTCATTTGGCATTTATGTACTACACCATATATTACATCTTATGCCAAAAATTGTTAATATTAACATTTTGTAATTTAAAAGAACATTTGAGATTCAAAGAAGTATTATTTCATACAAGTTCTTTCCCTAATACACACACAAAATTATTATTAAGAATGAAGTAAATGAAAGTAATCAAATTACAAATAAATGATAATTGATTAAATTAGGATATATTATCCAGTATATTTGAAATACAATATAATATTGATCTTTGGCTGAAATATTTACAATTACATTGGAAGAGATATTAATTTTGTTAAAGAGAGAATTATTGCAACATAGTACAAATACTCTTCATACATCATCTATCCACTTGAGAAAAATGAAAATATGTCTTACTAATAAAAATATAATAGTGATATTGAACTATTTTATTTTAAACACATTACTTGTCAAATATGTTTCCATTAAAATTTACATTAATATAAAAATCATATATATCTGAATACAATTCAAAATTTTTGAATTTTATGTTAGCATTTGAGAAATATGAAGCGCACATTTACACAGTTGAAAATTATGCTAATGATTAAAGATTAAAGAAAACAATTCACAATTTTTTTGGTGAATTATTCTGCTAAGAAATATTTTTCATTCATTCTGTGTATTTATCAAGACTGTTGACATTATATTGTTTAACTAAATACAAGAACACTTGAATCATGCAATGCCATAATGTTGTAAATGCCATTTTTTTCTAATATGTTTTATTGAAGAATTGAATTCTAAATGCAATGTTTTCTGCCACAAAAGAAAATTGTGGTGATATTAGCAGTGTAAGTGGCTGTATTTTGAAGATGAATTTATGTGAAAATATAATGTTTAAAGTGTCAGGAGTGCAAGTCATGTGACTTTTGGTGCATAAAACATTGCAGTTTATATTTACATCATTTTTGATATTCCAGAGAATTTGTAACCTAGTGAGTTTTTTACCATTTTATTGTAAAATTGAAATGAATTCATTCATTAGAAAAAATGTTTTTTACCTCTCCTGAAAAGTCTTTTTTTGGCATTTACAACATTATGGCATTGCACACTTCATTTATCTTTTGAACATTAAAATCAAAAACAAACATCATTTTTCTCATATTTATAAAACTAAAAAGAAATTAATTTTATTTTGCAAATAATTACACATTAATGTTTCACTTAATTTGATTTGAACATTTTAGTCATAGTAGTCTTAGAAGGAATTTATTTATTCATTCATTCATCCTATTTTAATTTGATGTTTGTACGTAAGATATAAACAAATATTTTCTTTTTTGATATACACATTAACTATAACAGTAAAAAAGTTTTTTAACTTATTTTTCTTTCTATGCAGAGTATCATGATCATAAATATTTTTTATATGCTTAGATAATATTTTTTTGTAGTTAATATGATTCAACTTTTTAAAATGTACTTTGAAATAAAATAGCTTGTACTGTACATATATAATTCTTGTTAAAAGTGTAACACTATTGTCTAACATTTCAGAGAAAAATTATAAAATGTTTAGTGTTTTAGAAGATACTGAAATATTAACATATTAAAATTAACACAACAACAAAAAGCAAAAGAAAAACTTTTTCATAATTTCATGTACCCAATTTGAAATTTTATAAAAAAATTGTACAGCTTCTCCAAAATCTGTAAAATCAGACATATTACGATATATTTAACTAAAGCTCCTGTAGAAAGAATCTATTTACTCATGAATTGTCTGTGGTCAAAAGATAAGGCTAGACCAGGCATGGCACATATGGCCTGTGGACCAGATCTGGGCCCGTCTAATGAATTTATGTGACCCGCAATCAATCTTTCAACATTAGATACTGAAGTCCGAATAGCTCGATGAAAAATTCTGACGCCAAAAAATAAAAAAAAAAAGGGACAACAACTCACTGTGCATTTAGAGTTAACCTTCCTATTACAAATCTCATAAGTACAGCATGAAGTGTTGATAAAGCATGATAATGTGAAAAATGTATCTTTAATCTCTATCTACAATTCAGTCTCTATGGGGTGACACCACAATTAGATCTCACACCACCTCAAAATCTTCCTAGGGCAGCCTCTGGAAAAAGTTCTTTCCAATTTGGCCCTGGGGCAAAAACTGTTGGCAACCCCTAGGCGAGACTAATACTGAAGCCATGATTAAAAAGCTAATTAATTAAAAAACAAAATTATGACTTACAATGCAATAATTCCTATGATAAAATTACAAGTGATAAGAACTTGTTAAATAACATAAATTCATCTGAAAATATACTTAACTTAAACTAGAANCGTACTTATTTTTTTTAACCCCATTCCCGATAACCCGGCATTTTCACAAACTCGGCCACCCTTCGGTCCACATTAGGCCGAGTTTTCGAGGTTCTACTGTATTTAATAAAATTTTGCAATTTTATAATTTCAAAACTCCTAAATTATTATACAATTTTAAAAAGTACTATCAGACATCAGAGAAATGCTATAAAGCATTTCACTAACTAAGGATTTTGCCATCATAAATATTACAAAACTGTCAACAATGAGTCAAGGTAAGTCACAAAAAATATCAGAACAATTCTTTAAAGGTTTGTTTTTACAATGTGGTAACACTAGAACTACTTCTTCACAAAAAACTGATTTTCAATTACAGCGATTATCAATTGAATGAAGTTCCATTTTTTTTTTAACCTATTGTTCCACCATCTCCATTCTTTTTTCAAAGGTGTCTAGCCTGACAATGATTGTTTACACAGCAAAAAATATTTACTACTGTAAGTTTTTTTTACTGAATTTTATATTTAAAATGTCCAATTAATTGATAATCTAGTTCTTGAGATACAAACTATCTTTCTCCTAAATTTGCATTTTTTTAATCATTAGATTTATTCAATGTTTGACAATATGCAAAATTTTGAATCAAAGTTGAGAATTTGATTCATTTATTATTGATCAGGCTGAAAGTTCTTTGTGATTGAGATGCAGTTCAGATATATGCTGCTACTGAAATATTTTTGATCATAAGTTAATAATCAAAAATTTTACTCAATATATTTTACTCAATATATGCTTCTCATTTTTCTTTTCCTATATCTGAATATATTAGTTTAATAACATATTAGTTATAAAAACTATTTTATAATCAAAATTACTAAATATATTTATAGTCACACTAAGACTATACTTATAATTTAAAAAACAAAACCCAAACTAAAGCATTTAATATTGATCTTTTGCACCATCCTAAGTGTAGCTTATATAGCATTTTATAATATAGATGAAACTAGCAAATGGCAACAACTTTATACTTTACAGAGATGTGATTTTTAGAATCATCAGTTTGTACTGGGCCGAAATTGAAACTGGCCATTTTCAGTGACTAATGAGAGACATGACTTTAGACAGATTTGATTGTATATTAATAATAAATGAATAAATAAATGAACTGTTTGTCAGATATTTAGTGAAAGTTGTTTAACAAAACTGTTATTGTACTTGATTTTGATTGTTTTATGCTAATGAATTTTTCACAATAATGTACACGTATAGTTTGTTTATTAATTTTAGTTATATATAAATTAAAAACAGTTAACAATCAGAAAAAAATATAGATACCTGAAAATGTCTCATTTTAGAGGAACAGCTTTTAAACATATACCACTAACAGAAGCATATATTACAGAAAGAACTCCACCACCTATAACCTACTCAGGAAAGACCAAACAGATGCTATAAAATTGCTGGGTTTTACAGAATATCTATCATTGACAATGTGTCAGGCCAGAGCTTGGAATACATTGATGCCATGACCCAATCCTTATCTATCAGAATTGGAGAACAACAGTATACAATAAGAAAAAGTTTACTCTCTGCAGAAGTTGCAAGAGCCAGTGGATGTTTTATGGTGTACAGCTGTGATTATGCCAAATGAAGTGCTGGATTATTTATTGGGCTGTAATAAGGCTAATTAATGATTCATCCTTATTGTACCACAATAAATAATCCAGAAATTTGTTTGGCATTTCTAATAGAATTTGACTGATGTTTATGCTGAGAGTACTAAACATATAAGAAATAGACACCACCTCAGAAGCACAGAGGAATGTAAAATATAAATCAGAATTTAAGGAAAATACCATAAATTTCAAGAACCATTTGCAATTTCTCATTCCTAGAGACCTTGTTTCAGATACCCATAAAATATGGCCATCTTTTAACATATATTGATGTAAACTAGGATGGGATAACTAATTTTTCTGCATGAACATATAATTATTATAAATTATGTATAAATAATTTTATTTAAATCTAGTGATATAATATTTGGCTCATAATTTTGCACCACTTAGTGTTAAATTCCTGCATTCAAAATTACTGTCAGAATTCTCAGTTCTATTCATGTTTCATTATCATTTAGAAGTGTTCTATTTAAAGAACCTGATGAAGGCTACTAAAAATAGCAAAAAATATTAGTTGAGCATCAAATGTTTGATAATTGTTGATTTTCTGGTGCTGTGCTCTGAATCCCTTTTTTAAAAAACATTATTAATTTTGGTTTTAGAACTGTACAAATCAAATTCCTTAAATTATACAAATTAACACTAGATACAAATTAAAATTATAATTAATTTTTATTTAATTTATACAGTAGAACCTCGAAAACTCGGCTCTCGATAACCCGGCACTCCGGATAACTCGGCCACACCCTGGCAGGGCAAAAAAATCCTTAGTTAATTAATTTTCATTATAGACAGCTTTATAAAAGTATAAAACCTCTCATAAAGTATTTTTCTGAGGTGTGTCTTATCAGGTAAATTACTGTACACAGTGTATTCATTAATTTTCATTTTCATGTAGTAAAGGCTCTATGCCTTCATAAAGGACGTACTTTTCCTTTGTTTAAGGGTATTTGGGCAGTTTATTCTCTGT